GAAAAAAATATATACAGATAAAATAAAATAAAATAAAATAAATAACTAATATAAAAATAAAATAATTATAATAAAATTTATTAATTACACTAGTTAAATAACTATTTGATTACATCAATATTCATTATAAATGTTTTTTTACTATTCATGGTTTCAATTTAAATTTTGAGTATAAAAAATGATTATTGAACATTTAAGACAAAATCATTAAATTTCATGAATAAATATTTACAATTTAGTGATTGTGTAGTCTGCAAAATATTTTATTTATTTATCTAAGTATTGTAATTAAATAGATAATCAATTTTATGAATCTTTACTATTCATTTGCTAGTGGCATAAAAGTAATTTATATTTAAATCTTAATTTTGAAATGGACAGTAGATTAATAGTTATTTAGCTTTAAATTTTTTAAAAATAAACCGTATTTATAAATTCCAAAAATCAGCCCATATGTAATAATTAATATTATGTTAAAATCTATCCATTAAAGAATTTATTACAGAAAATGTTAAATGTTAAATTATATAATGAAGATACTGTAGCATGTACTCGAGACACAACAATTTAAGGACGAATAAATAGAGAAATTGCAATATAAAAGAATTTCATCTTAGAGTTTATAAATATGAACATATGATCTAATAGAATCATTAGTAATCAACAGCATTTAGTGTTAATATTGAACCTAGGTGTCGCATAGTGGTCCGCAAAATGGATTTGAGATTCGGATTCGAACCGCAAATCCGAAATACACAAACGCTAAAACTCTGATTTCTTGTGATCTTTTATTTTATTTTTTTCTTGAAAAGTATATTAAATATTATTATTAAAATACATCGAGCCAATAGTGCCAAATATCGACCTTCATTAAATAAATGAATATGTAGCATATATTAATAGGATTGTGCGTGGGTTAAGGAGTTTCAGTGCGAATATTGCTTCTTGTGGACTGTAGCGCGTCTATTTCTTATCGTTATGCTTCACAGATTGAATCAATGAATATCGATGCATACCGGGAGACAAACTTCCTGTTATGTACCCGATAGTCTGCCATCACCAAATACCTGTTGAATATCAGCTGCATATTGACAGAATATTGGTAAGATATCGTGAGGTAGATCAATATCAGCAACATAGCAGCAAGATATTGGGATATCCCGATTTCTTATTTTTAGGCCAGAATGCAAAGAGTAAGGTATAAGGGTATCCTAATATTGTGCTGTTATATTACCGATATCGATCTACCCAATTCTGCAAATATGCAGCTGATATTCAGCAAAGTATTATGCGGATCTGTGGCAGACTATCGGGTACATAACAGGAAACTTGTCTCCCGGTATGCACCCGATATTCATTGATTCAACCTGTGCTTGTTTTCTGAAATAAGGTTATGATTAGCATGTAATTAGATCAAGTCCCAAATTAAGCAGTTATTAAATATACATGCCATTCGTTATATTTGACAATATACTTCCACACGATTATATATTGCTGCTTGGTTCGATTTCCAATACTTTGTTTATATCAAAGAGCACCTTACCATATTTTGTCCATCAATTGATAAATTGTTCTACGATTATTTAATGCAATTTCATTATTTGGTTTAATTTTCAATGCTTTATTAAAATCGGCAAGTGATTCTATCTGTCCATATCAAGATATAGGTTTCCGCAATAAAATCTGTCTATTTCTAATGCTTTGATTAGGTCCGCAAGCGACTCATCATATTTCTTTACAATTATATAAGTCACTCCACGATTGGTTAAAACCACTTTATCATTTGGTTCAACTTTAAACACTTTATTAAAATCTGCAATTGATTCATCAAATATTCCCATAAGTTGATAAACTGTTCCACGAATATTCAAAGCTTCTAAATTATTTTGCTTAAGTTCTAATGATTTATTTACATCTACAAGTGACTTCTCATATAATTTGTGGTAATAATAAAGAGCTCCACGTCTGTTTAATGAATCTGGGTCATTTAGATTGATTTCCATTTCCATTAAATCTGTTAATGAATCCCGTTTCCTTAACGACAGTAGCATTATTTTATTTTATTATTATTTTTTTTGTGTATTTTTTTTAATCGTAAACAATATTTCCATTGTCCGGAACGTAGAACATGGAAGATTTACAATGTGTACATTCGTATTAAGAATTCCGGTCATCTAACAGTTGGAAATATATTAAGCTAAAACCTGCTAAAGCGAGTTAATCAAAATTAAATAACAATGGGAGGGTTAAACTAACAATAAGTCAATGATATTCACAAAAACTTGTATTTAATCATTCGAGAAATCGATTCTTATTTTTACTTCATTAAAGACATCGAAGTCTGAGAGAACTTTATTAAAGCGAAAACACAGTTCTTGATGCAGTAATGTTACTTAGTTAATGCATTTAAGGTCACTGAATTAACTCTACTTTAACTTTGATCCCTCAAATTAGGTTGTTGTTGCTCAATAGCAGGCTAGTCTATTACCAATTCCTTTTGTCGGTTCAGCAGATACAAAAAAAAAAGTCTATAAGGAATACCGATATCGATATAGATACAGTCAGACCTCACTTAATGCATAGCCGTGGGCGGCCAAAAAATCTTGCATTAAGAGAGGTATTGCATTTAGGGAGGTAAAAATCTATAAGTGTCATATAAGTTGGGACCATGCAAAGCCATGCATTTAGAGAGACTATGCATTTAGAGAATATGCATTTAGGGAGGTCTGACTGTATGAACAGGAGAGACCGTTGATGTTACACGACTGATCCTTCACCCGGTGTGCAACATATAAAAAAATTATTTTAAAATACCAGATCATTCCGCTAGTACATGTTATGATTATAATCCAACACCATTTTATTATCATAAAAATGGTGTTGGATTATAATCATAACATGACACCGGGTAAAGGATCAGTCGTGTAACATCAACAGTCTCTCCTGTTAGATATGCAAGTTTCTGAGTACAGAGAGTAATGAGGTATTAGAGAATACGGACAAATCGTTACAAAATGGCTTATAACTTTCGATTAATCTATTTTTCGAAGTTTAAGATTAAAAAAAAGGCTCTGTTTAATTTTAGAACTTTTTAACTAATATTGGGACTGTCTAAAGCCGGGTAGTCACGTGACTAGCAGCCACAGTGGCTAGTGTGGCGCATGTCATCTAAAGCCAGGTAGTAATCTAAGTGCTCATGCCTAAAGCCGGGTAGTGACAAAGTCACCTACAGGTAAGAATGTTGATGTTATATGACTGATTTTTCACACGGTGTGCAACATAACCCTATGCGTTGACGAAGTAATGCTAGGGTTATTATCGTGAGGATCACTATTTGTGGCTTATATGAATTAAGTCTTGTATAAATTAAGGTATATGAGCAAAGGTTTGTATGGGTAAGACAATAGAGATAGATGCATATGATTGTATGCAATAGAGATTATAGATATGCTGTTGGGATCTGAACGGGTCTCAGGTCCAAAACCATGGTTCATTATTATTATTTTTTTCCATTTTTATTAAATTTAATTTATGTAAATATCCATTTTTATATATATGTGGGGCTTGGAGGATGTGGCTTATTACCGGATTAGGGATTTACTTAGCAAATTATAACGTATATGTTGCAGGCTATGTGACGATTTGGCTGAGGGAAATCAGAACGTATACACGAGATAATATAGAACATATATGTGATGATAGTAAAACGCATACGTGATGGTAATGAAACGTATACGTTGCAAGGATTAAGAATGAAGAGCATAGCGAAACTATTCTCTATAGAAAATCAAATATAAAATAGAGGCCTTTTTGGTCTTCCCAGAAACATTAGTTCTCGATTAGTTAATAATTAGAATTCTCTAAAACCCCTAATCCTTTGAATTGTATATTTTAAAGAAATTAATAAAGAATTTCTTTCGCTTATTAATAATCGATTTCTCGTGAGGTTTATTAAAGTATTGTATAAAGGATACGCTAGGTATCTTAATTAACATAGCGGAAGTAAGCATTGAGGCTGAAGAGACCTTTCCCTGAGTAGTTAGGATCCATATCCTTATGGAATCAGAATTGTTGATCTAGACTGGTATAGAGTCTATGTTTAATAAGTAAACAACGAAGTATTAAATTCTGTTTAACGAATAGTATCGATTGACTATAATTGGAAGTGACTATCAGTTAAGTCACATTATTAATTAAGGAACTGTAGTATATTGATTTTGTTGTTTAGAATAGTGATTTAAGCCGGCTAAGGCAGCCATGACTAAGCCGGCTTAGCTGGCTAAGCCAGCCAATGTAATATGTTCGGCTGGCTAATGTAGCTAAAAATTAGTATATAGTGGATTCCGGTAAATTCTAAAAAGTAAGCATAAAATATAAGCAAAATTTTTGAAAAGTTTACAGAAATTTTTCAGAAGTATAGCCATTAGCTAGCCGATTAGCTGATATCTTAGTCAGCTGGCTTAGCCAGCCAACTAAAACCTTATGGCTTAAATCACTAGTTTAGAATCATACCTTTACTTAATTATATCAATCATCCCCTATTCCTAATCCACCCTTATATTATCACCTCTGTCTGATTAAATCACCATTCACCATATTATAAATCTACTAACGTCCCATATAGCTTGTACTTACCCTAACCAATAGTAAATTAGATTCTTACAACCTGTATATCATTAACTATTGGAGCTAAACTCTGCATCACATTTGCTCTTCCAATTTACAATAGTAACAATGCATGTGATTGAGATTATGGATATTCATATGATCGAGATTATAGATATGCAGATAGGAGTATAAAAAAGAGATTATAAAGATACGTGGGGGAAAATTAGAAAATTTAGTGCTTTCTTACTTCGCTTGTCTTGTCCACTTGTTCTCTTCATTGCCTGATTAATTACGATCTGGCTTCTTTGTACTTAACATAACTTGTGCTTAAAAAAATAAAATAAAAATAAAAAAAATAAAAAAATAAAAAATAAAAGAAAGAAATAAAAATTATGTTAGATACAAACCTTATGAAAAGTGACCTAGAAGAAATCTGTTGTGGCCTTGGTATTTCCACAGAAGGAACTAAGGCAGATCTAATACAAAGAATAAGAGATTTTTCAAGTGAAAGAAATTGCACAATACCTGAAAAATCAGATAATGAAAAAAGGATAAACTATGATGAAAATGATGAATTAACAGGTTCTGAATACCTGGATGAAGAAGACATACTTGAATGTAACTCCCAAACACAAATACTAAGAGAACTGGCATAGAAGTCTAGAGGGAAAACAAAAGTTCCACTATCTAAAATTGCCCTGCAACTACAGAGAAACAAATCTCTAATACGTATGATGGAGGAAACATGTGAAACTTCAAAGAAATACAGAAAGTGCTATTTCCAGGAAAATGTGAGGGTGAAAGTTCAGAGATCCTAGAATGCAAAATGATATTAGAATTTAAAAAATTAGAAAATGCAGTTCTGGGTTTTAATGATAGGTTAAATTTAGTATCTGCTCAAATACGCAATACCTGGCAAAGAGTTGAAATAAATGAAGCTTAGCCAGATCACAAATTTGAGAGATTATGTGACCAGCATGAATAGAATACACTGCAACAAGTGGGAAGAGAGCTCAATCTGGCTATAGAATCAAAAAATGTTCATGATGCTATAAATCATATAAAAAACTCCTGAGAAAAAGTTGCAAACAGAATGTACACATTACAGGTAGCTGAAGGATATGGATAGGAAATCACTTCAGCTTTACCTAACATACAAGATGAATAGTTAAAAGGAAAAAATGATCTAATTGAAAAAGCAAAGGCTCTAGCAGATGTAAAGAAGAACAAGCATTAGAAATTTAAAAATTCAGGGAAAAATGATTACCAAAAAGGATATAGTTACCAAGAGACCTACAAAAATACAAATTCAAACTCCAACAGGCTCTTTCATCCCTACAATTAGCCACAAAGCTGTTTCCAATCTTTCTCAGGTAAATGCTATATCTGTGAGGGCATTGGTCACTTTGCAAATATCTGCCCCTCTGACCCAAATAAAAACAACTTTGTCTTCTGATCAAGAGGATACTTAGTATATAAAAATAGATTTGGCAAGCCACAGAAAAGTACAAAAAAATAATTGACTACACTTGGGCCCAGCAAACAATTTCGGTTGTAGAACATTTACATATAAAGGAACATATAGGATATTGAAAAAGGAAGATTCAAGCTTCAAGCCTTATTATAAGCTAGCTCAAAAATAGAATTCCACTATATCCACGAGGTCTAATGCATCTAATAAAAAGCCCAGATCCACCTCAATACCCATTGACAAAAGAACAGGATACATGGTCGGATCTGAATATAAAAAGACTTTTAGAAATAAAAGCAATTGCCTTAGTAGCTGAGTCAAAAGAAAGACCTGAATATCTATTAGAAGTAAGCCTGATCTTTTTAACCCTGAAACCAGGCCCCAACAAGTGGCATCTAATAATCAATCTCAGATATTTGAATGCAACATTACTAAAAAAAATCATTCAAGTTTGAGAGTTTTGAGACCTTTTTGCATATAGTAGAACAAAATTGGTAGGTAATCATATTAGACCTAAAAGAAGGTTATTACCATATAATGATAGATGAAAAAGTACAAAGACAATTAGGGTTCAGAATCAGAAACAGCTGATACCATTATCGAATTTTACCCTTTGGGCTAAACCAAGCTGTATAGATATTTTCCAAAGTTATGCGATCAATAATAGAATATTGGAGATCATGTGGCATCACATATAGACGATATTTGGGTTGTGCACCCTTGTTATGATGTTTTGTTACAAATAAGAGATTTACTTATACTCTCAGATCTAAAAAACTGTAGTTTCATATTAGCAAAGAAGGGCCACCTTGACCCAATACAACAACCAAAGTTTTATGAGATAGTTTTAAATACAGTAAGAATAGTATCTGTCCCAAAAGCAAAAATAAATACTATACTGCAGACTTTGAGAAGCCTGCTATTGGAAAAAATAATAACAGCTTACCACTTGTTCTTTGTAATGAGGAAACTAATGAGTCTAAATCGGGCCTTTATATATGCAAAAGTGTGCTGTATAAAACTTTATTCAATTATAGATGCAGAAAACAGAAAACCCTAGGAATGGAACAAAACAGTTTATCTAACACAACAAGCACTTACCGATGTGGCCTGGATACTAGAAAACTTAAAAAAGAAAAATAGATGATTGGGATGAAAACCTTTCCAAATAATTCCAATATATGTAGATGTTTCTACAACTGGATGGTCAGCAACCTTGAGACAGAAACAGGCATTTGGAAATTGGGAAAACAAGCGAAGCGCAAATATACAGACATTGTATTACTAGAATCAATAGCAGTGATATTGGGTCTCGAATCTTTTACACCTATAATTGCATGTCATTGGATCACCATTTTAATAGACAATCAAATTGCTTAAAAAACTGTGGAAGCTGGTGGCAAAAGGCCCTGGCAAAAAGAAATAATGCAGGAAGTATAGAACTTTTGCAATCATCATAATATACAAATACATGAATTTCAATGGGTCCTATCAGAACTAAACCCAGCAGATAAATTAACAAGGTTAGTCAATAAATCAGACTGGTTACTTTCCCAGGATTTATACAAGGAAATAAATAGAAAATGGGGGCCTTTTTCAATAGACAGAATGGCAAGCTATTATGCAAAAAAAGTAGAATAATTTAATAGCCATTTTTATTGCCTAGAAGCAGAAGTGACGAACTGCTTTACCCAAAGCTGGAGGAATGAAAACAATTATGTATGTCCCCCTTTGGGCTTGATTCACAAGGTATTTGAATATGGAAGAGAGTACTATGCACAAATAACATTAATAATCCTAGTGTGAATGTCAGCATCATGGTGGCCAATTCTACTTCAACAAAAAGTAGAATTCATGGACCTGCCCAGCGCTACAATAAGCTTCAAGCCAAGCTCTGGAGAAAATGCAATTCCAGAACTATGAAAAAATCTACAGTAAATATTTTGGGCAGTGAAGCTCTATTTTTGAACAAACTACTAGCAAAGGCATATGAATATATATCACCAAACACAGTATATGAAAGACATCTACAAAATTTATGGGATGAGTTTGTTACTTTTTGTAAATTTTATAATTTTGCCTCATGCCTAGCACATCCCAAAACCATTATGTTCTTTTTGGTATGAATAGATGTCTAGTCACAATCCATGAAACCACAAATGTACTTGATTGCAATTAGCTACTTTCACTTAAAAGGGGGTTCTCAGACCCAACTACAGACTTTAATGTTCAGATTCTAGCAAGAAAATTGTTGAAACATGCAGATCATGAAGCAACTTGGCAATATGACCTATTACTAGTGGAAGCATTAAAAACTTATATAAACTACCCATCTATTGGGATATCAAATATAATCTGGAAGTGAGACTGTGCAATGATTACTCTGGGCCTTCATACAATATGTTATCCAGCAGAACTTTGTAATCTTAGAATAGAGGATTTAAAAATAAAAAATAGAATTTGTTGGGTTAGAATAAACAAATCAAAAACTGACCAGTTTGCAAAAGGAAAATTTATCCCAGTTGAACCCACAGAGTCTCCATATTGCCCAGTAAGATTAGTATGTGAGTACTTAAAAGTAAGAAGGTCTAGGAGAAATGAGGATCCAATTTTTTTAGTATAACAGGAAAATGCATAACAACAGAGGCTGTAAATACAGTTGTGAAAAAAATGATACAACATGCAGGGTTAGAAAGTAAGTATTCTGGCCATAGTATATACATGGGGGGTGCAATAAAAGCTGGTTTGATACTCTCTCAAATAATGAGTATCAGAGGGTGGCTATCACAAACAGTATCACTGTACCTTAGAAAACACTTTAGCATGGATGGGATTTTTTAAAAAAAAATAATAAAAAAAAATGATTTTCTGTGCTGCTCCTATCATGTATCTTCATAATGTTCAATAAAAAGATCTGAGTGAGAATAATAACTCTATGCATTAATGAAGTCATGCTAGGGTTATTATCGCAAGAATCACTATTTGTGGCTTATATGAATTAAATCTTGTATAAATTAAGGTATATAAGCAAAGGCTTGTATGGGTAAGACAATAGAAATAGATGCATATAATTGTATGCAATAGAGATTATAGATATGTATGTAATTGAGATTATAGATATTTATATGATCGAGATTATAGATATGCAGGTAGACGCATGAAAAAAAGATTATAAAGATATGTGAGAGAAAATTAAAAAATTTATTGCTTTCTTACTTCCTTGTCTTGTCCACTTGTTCTCTTCATTGCCCGATCAATTACGATCTGGCTTCTTCGTATAATCCACCACACCCCCTTATAAATTCATTGCATCAAATACACTACCAGTTGTCATACATAGTAAGATGAATGTACCTTACCATAGCATAGGCCTGAACCAAAAAAAATAAAATAAAATAAAGTAAAAGTAGAATGCGCCACACCATAGCATGGGCTCGTACTTTCGATCCTTATTTTATACTTCATCACATAAGCAAACAATGTGAATATATTGGAAGAAAATTCATAGTGACAAATTAGAAGAATATGTAGTAGTGATTAAATGAGCACAATATACAGTATGTTATGATGGAAGAGAAAAGTGGTGAAGTGAAGTACTACTCCCATCATGTATCTTCATAATGTTCAATAAAAAGATCTGAGCAAAAATAATATAAAAAAATAATTTTACAATACCAGATCATTCTGCTAGTACATGTTATGATTATAATCTAAACTATTTTTATTAGTAAAAATAGTGTTAGATTATAATCATAACATGTACTAGCGGAATGATCTGGTATTGTAAATTTATTTTTTTATATATTGCACACCATGTGAAAAATCAGTCATATAACATCAATGTTCTTATCTGTAAAAATTACCACGTCTAAAGCTGGATAGTAATGTAGCTATTAGTTTACATCACTACCTGGCTTTAGATAACCCCAGGTTTTTTATGGTTGACTACCCGGCTTTAGACATTATGGCTAATAGTAAAGCATAAAACACACAAGCTACTT